CCCCCCCCCCCCCCTGAGTTAGCCTTCCAGTCTATTTATAGTTCAATGCCTTTCACCTATCGTGGGTTCGAATGGCATGGACTCATGTGAAAAGAGTCAGTCAGCTCACCTTGTCGAAAGTCGTGGGTAAGAAAGTTAAGAAAGTAATATCACAACTGTTGTAAAAATAATATAGTCTAGGCTAAGTATGTAATTAGGTAAGCGTAATTGCTTGATTTAAAGCGTATTTGATCTTATCCACTTGTCAATTTGCTCTATATAGGAATGTTACATGTAATCTTAATTTTTTAATGTTAATAAGACCCATTGCACTGACGTCACAAATCTTTTGAGTGTCCTCCAGATGCTCCCTAAAGCCTGTTATCCACTAGGCGGAATTTTGCGCGCGGAGCGGACGTTTTCTTTGTCTTGTGATTTCAACAACGACGGCTATGTACAGAATGATATTCCTGATCTCGTACAAAAGAAATGAATAATTAAAAGCCCCACGGGAATTAGAGACGTTGTGTTAGTGCTTTTTACAACGGCAAACAAGAGATTTTCACGTCTCGTGTACAACGCAAACATGTCAAGACGCGACAAGTGAAATTTACAAATTTGCTCAGCAGAAGCGTTTTTAACCATAAAGCCTTTGTTTTAATTTCTTCAAATTGAACTCAATTCATATATACATGCAGTGGATAATACATAACAACTCTTCTTCACAATAATTTATTTGAAGAAGTTTGTTTTGGCTGTCATAGTCGCGTTGTCGTCGTACTTGCTTAAGGTGGTGACGGCAACGCGACGACGACGCCAAAATAAACTCGTTCGAATAAGTAACTTTAAGATCAATATGTCTTGTATTATCCGTTGTATGAATTTATTGCAATTTAAGAAGGTTAAGACAGGTTTATAGTTGAGAAGACTTCTACTAAGCCAATTTGGCGAGGACGACTTCTCGCGGCTTGAAAGGCAGACGTTGTGCACAAAACGTGAAAATCTTTGTTATGCTGTTGTAAACAGAGCAAGGACGACGTCTAAAACTCCTACGAGACCTTTAATTATGCATTTTTTTCCTACACTGTCATAAATTTCATTGTACAGGGTGTCCCAAAAAAAAGTGACACTATAGAAATTATCCTATTGTTATAATTTGAATGCCCTAGCACTAAGTTGATCCCACAGGTGCATAAACTTCTGCTTCTCGAATTTAAAATAAAAAAGCAAACCGTTTATTAGTGTAATCGTTTTGCTTGACTCGGGTGTTAAAATATTTGGACAAAGCAAAAACGTTTTAAAATGCTTAAATGTAAATACAAGTTCATTAAATTGCCAGGCGTGTAATCACGCGCGTTTAAGAGCGGCTTAAGAGATAATTTCAGTCTATAGTGTCACTTTTTTGGGGGACACCCTGTATTAGTAGCCGTCGCCGTCCTGCTAACTAAAGGTCCCTAATATCTGTTTGGGTACAACAACCACATTCAGTGCAAAAATTAACCATTTCAATACAAAATTATTATAAAGTTTATTATTATTAGATTGCTAATGGACCTTTCCCCTTATAGCTAAAATTTTGATCTAGACAAAAATTTCATCACAGCTTGAAAGAGCATCGCAAATTTAGTAATATTCCAAAGTTTCGTTGCGAAATGTTGTAAAATGTGGATGATATAGCCTTGCGAAGTTTGCCGTTTTTCAGTCATTTTGTATTACGCACGGGAAATTGACAGCCCAATCGGGTGTTGAGGCATCAATTTCCCGTGCGTAATACAAAATGACTGAAAATTGCAAATGTCGCAGGGCTATATTATCCGCATTTTACAACATTTCGAAACGAAACTTCGGAAAATTACTAATTTTGTGATGCTCTTTCAAGCTGTGATGAAATTTTTGTCTAGATTTGTCTAGATCAAAATTTCAGTTATAAGGGGAAAGCGGTCCATTTGTCCTCAAGATACATCGCTACCGGCGCTGTGACGTCATGTGCAATGGGTCTATTGGCGTAATAAAGTAAAGAAAATGCGCAAAGCCTCTACTATACCTTTGCGAATACTTCTTCAAGACTTTTTTTTGGTTTCCAACAGACAATGCAGTTCTCACAAGACTAAAGAAAAAACATTTACAATTACACAAAACTCGGAGCGGGAGTCAAACAGTTATTTTGACAAATTTTGTTTGAGTTGAGAAACAAATTTTCCCGTAGCGCTATTCACTTCATGGGTAGTAATTTTTTCTAGCTTTCTAAAATGATTGAAAAGCTGTGAAACTATATTTTGCTTATATTGCTGTATAAATATGGCGTCAATTTTACAGCATCAATGATAATCAGCGTCAAAAATGAAAATCATAAGCTCAGTAATTACTTTAAGTTACATGTAGGAAACTTGGCTTACTTTGGATAATACAAGATCGCCAAGCCATCTGACACAGTCAACATAATTTCTGTGAATATCTCTTGTTGTAAACTTGGGGTAATGTATTTGTAAAGTTTTAAATGATTTTGTCGATTTTGCGTTGTTGTATAATGCTGCATCTTCTATCGTCTAAGAAATGAATAACAACTATAGTTAGAAAAAAAAAACAGACAAAAGAAAAAGACTGAACTTAAAGAACCAACTTTATACTGGACTGTTCTTCCTAGAGGTCACGTAATGACCAGCATGTTACTACAGGAGGAAACCTAAACTAAACTAATTTTATTTATACTCGACAACGTTAAGTTACTCTATCAGTTCTCAGCTTCTCCCAGATGTTCAGTGGAGGTCATCTCTTATTGATCTAGGATTATTTCAGGAGAAAATCTAAACTTAGTTAACCTTATTTATACTGGATAGCTCTATCAGTTCTAAACTGTTCTCCCTAGAGGTCCAGTAAGGATCATCTTTTATTTATCCAATGTTACTACAGGAGGAAACCTAAACTAAACTAACTTTATTTATACTGGATAGTTCTATCAGTTCTAAACTGTTCTTCCTAGAGGTCCAGTAAGGATCATCTCTTATTGATCCAGTGTTACTACAGGAGGAAAACTAAACTAAACTAACTTTATTTATACTGGATAGTTCTATCAGTTCTAAACTGTTCTCCCTAGAGGTCCAGTAAGGATCATCTCTTATTGATCCAGTGTTACTACAGGAGGAAACATAAACTAAACTAACTTTATTTATACTGGATAGATCAATCAGTTCTAAACTGTTCTTCCTAGAGGTCCAGTAATGACCAGCCCTTATCCTGCCAGTGTTACTACAGGAGGAAACCTAAACTAAACTAACTTTTTTATACTGGATATTTTAATAAAACACAAAACAATAGATACTCCGAAAATTGTAAACATTTTCATTCTTAAACATTTTGTAAACATTTTTTACAAATTGTAAACATTTTCATTTTTTTTTCTTTTCTTTTTTCATTTTCATGTTTTTTCATTTTCAGGTTTTTTTTTGTTTTCGTTTTTTTATACTGGATAACCCCATCAGTTCTAAACAAGTTCTCCCTAGAGGTCCATCAAGGGCCATATTTTATCAATCCAGTATTACAGAAAGACACTAAAGTGGCCATGGGCGTACCGGAAGGAAAAATTTAGGGGGCCGGAGAGAAATTTGCCCGACTTTTTTGGATTTTGCCCCCCCCCCCCCGTCGCCAAAAAAATTTTGGTCAGTGTACCATTTTAGGGGTCAAAAATTTTTTCTGCACATACCAAAATTTTCCGGAACCTAACAAAAATTTTGGAAACATCACAAAATTGACCACAAAATTGACAGAATTTGTCTCATTTCTTTTTTTAATACACCAAAATTGCCAGACTGTTCAACGAATATTGCCTGACTGCACAACAAACTGGGGGGGGCTGCCCCCCCCCCGCCCGGTACGCCCATGAAAGTGGCTAAGACCTGCAGTGTTTGGTGAAGTCAAACCAGAAGCACTCTCCCCATGTGTGAGGGGAAATTTTAGTCAGACAAGTGAATAAATCATTCATGTTGGAACCTTTTTAATTTTCTCCTCATCTAGAGACCAGATTTTCAAAGAGTGATCCATTCCACAGGAAATAATTCTTGTTCCCAAAATATCAAAATCCTAAAATTAATGGAAAGTAAACACTCATGAAGCACATATTGCTGTCCTTGAATCTTGATTCAGACAAGAAGCTTAATAATTAACAACTAAATTATGTATGTGTGACCTCAGTGTTTTCAAAAACCTTGCTTGCTAAAACTCTGTAATATTGAGCTCTCATCATTTGAAATAAAATCTAAACTTACCCCACTCAACACTTCATCCCTATGTCCTTCAACTCCAGCCAACATCAGAACACACACTTCTGTTCTCACATTCCACAAACGTAATGCATAATCTGAAAGAGTTTAGCAGATAGTTGAATGTTAGGGTTTGTAATCCAAGTGAGAATATATACATTTTAAGACCTAACCAGGAATGACTGCAAAAAATGCAGCACAAGGTCCTCTGGTAGGAATTGAACCTACGGCCCTGCGATTCCTGCACCAGAATTCCACCAAGTGAAGTGCAAGAATCCACCATAGCAGATAGTTGGCCTTCATTAAGCATTAGCATGGAGCACATGGCGGTCAACCTGCCAGGGATGGTTTTACTGGGGTGCAGGGGGTGGGGGAACAAAACAAATGGTGGGGGGGGGGGGGTTAAAAGGGGGAAGTGTCCTGAACTGAGGGTCGGCAAGGGTCGGCAAGCACCCCCCTTCAGATCTGGCTGTAGGTAGAAGTAATGAAGAGATACCTTTACTAACGGACAGCAACAGTTCAGGATCTAATGGGTGAAATTTAAGCTCATTGACAGAACTACCGTGACCTAGAAAATGCTAAAACAGAAAAAGTTTCAATTAATTTATCCAATTGCTCACGAGATAAGCACTGGCAACCAAAAACCTTAGAGAATAAACAATAAGATTACTCATTATTTTACCTTTGAACACTGCATTGTAAAAGCACTACAAAATAAAAGATTAAATAATCATTACTTAAAATATACGAGCGGGTACCCCCTCTCAAAATCTGATTAAATATCTGATTAAGTGGCAATGCACTCTACTTTAGTATTTTACTCTGTCTAACACCAGACGATTTTACTCGTCAAGTGGAGATGCTGCCACTCAATGGGTTAACCAATGAATCCTCTTAACCCTTTAAGTGGCAACACACCCTACTTTAATATTTTACTCGATCTGTCTAATGCCAGACTATTTTTCTCATCAAGTGGAGAGTGCTGCCACTCAATGGGTTAATTATTTATTATTCATTCGATAATAAAAGATGGTTGAGTACACACCTGATAATTCTTATAATTCCTCGTGAACCAGCTATGGCAAGAATTGGTTCGCCTGAATCCAAAATGAATGACCATGCTGCTGTGTAAAAATTTTCATCTGGCTAAATTTTAAATCAGTTAAGTCTATACCACTATGTAATTGTCTATTGCTAAATATATGGTTTAAAATTGATAGATCATAGAAACAGTTTAGAATTGATAAAGTTAGTTTACTTGAACAGTTTGGAACTAATTATAAGGATACATCAGCATCAACATAGGCTTGAAGTAATTTGATCTCTCCTTTATCTTTGCATTGATATATGGATGCCTTATGAAAAAATTACCACATATTAATATAATTGTCAAATCCTTGATCTTCATCCTTCTTAACAGACGTCACATAGGCACTTACTCTGTTACTTCCAACAGTTGCAAAAATCAACGGGTCCTCTGCACTTTCATCAAAGTTGCAATTAAATGTCACACCAAATAACGGCTGCTTGTGATCCTCCTAGGATACATATTAAATCCGAAGTAACTACATGACCGGCAGCTGGCTATCTGGTAAACTGCCGGCTATATATGAAAGTTGAATTTTTATAAGATAAACCGTTCCCTAACCCCAAACCTTCCTCTAACCCTAACCCCTAACCTGACCTTTTGAGAGTTAAAAAGGTGTAGAAAAAGTTGGAAAAATTTTAAGAAAAAAATATGCTAAGTCAGATGTTAAAAATACAACCCGACCCCGGCTGGGTTTCACTCTCCGCACGCAACGCCTTTGCCATATGCGCTAACGGCAAGCTCGGTAAAACTAGTGCAAACAAATGTGTTTATATGTAACTACAGTATAGTCATTATATAGCCGGCAGTTTACTAGATATACTAAAACTGTCTGTACCAGTGTTGGTAGTACCAATGTGAAAATGCTGTGCTGAGTGGTTATATGGCTACTAACTCTTGACGAAGGGCCTTTGCTCGAAACGTCGAGTTTCTGCTTATTTTTTTAAGGTAGTAATATAACGACTCAGCACAGCATTTTTTAGTTTACTATAGATAGCCGGCTGCCGGTCATCCAGTCACTTTGTATTAAATCATTCATATTTACAACAGCTGTTTCTAAAATAGATATTTCTCTTAAGTGGTATAATTATTTCATACCTTTAAATTATTAGTACAACGATAGCCCAACTTAGTTTTCTTTCCTCGGCGCCAATGGCCACGTCCTTTGCCCATCTTGCCAGTGACCGTGTTGTCATTCGAATTTCCATTGCTTTCATTTGTTGACTCCACATCGCTGCCTTGTTCTTCAAGTTTTAATGTTAATGCTTCATGTTCTGCAAACATTCCGCACTCCTCTGGTGGGGTTAAGGAGATTTTTTCCTCGATTTTTTCGACATCTATAATATTTTCTTCGCTTTCCACTCCTTCGTGGTCGGCCATCTTGGATTTTTTCAGCCTACTAGTTCCAGATCCCACTATGCATGGCAGGGGTTTTTGGCGCCAAAATGGTATTGTTAAAGTGGCTCTACGCGCCCAGTACAGTTGATTAGAAAACGCGGACACGGAAACCGGACAACTGACACCGGACAAACTTTGGAAAAGACGGAGACATTGTTTTACATCATTATCCATACTCGTATTACTTGGTATACCTCTTATGTACCTGATTATCGAAAAATATTTAGAATTCGATGTTTCGAGCAAAGGCTCTGGTCAGGAAAAGATGGGCTGACGAAGTATAGTTTGACTTTTATTGAGACTATAAATTTTACAAACAATGCGATTTCAGTTGGTATTTAAATGACCCGAATCGAGCGGCGCCCAAGGGAATTATACTAAACGACCCTCATCGGGCGGGACGTTTTCAATAGCTAATTCGCCTCTTTTTATGCTATTACTTATAATTATTTCCTTATTCCAGACTTATCATATATTCACTATTTTAAGAACCAAATATCTCTTATAGCTAATTAAGTTGTTGATGCTTGCTATAAAATCGTCTGTATTAGATATATTTCAAAAGTTAAAAAGTAAAAGCACATTTTCAAAATTTCCTTGCTGTGTTTTCATTTTTTTCTTGCACTGACAGAGAACACAGCTCTGCGGTTTGACGCATCCAAGCTTCCTTGCAGTTCTTTAACTTCATAATTCGTCACGACCATCCCCGCGTTTTTTATCGCCTCCAATACAATGTTCTCTTCCAAAGGCAAAACACGAAACGTATGCTTTCCAACAACGTAGAAACTCTCGTTTAAATTTCCTGCCATATGGAGATAGCCTTGAGGTTTGAGAACTTCACAAAGTTTCACAATGTTGGCTTGGTAGTCCTGGATTGAAGAACTGCATTCCTCGATGCAAAAACTTGTTGAAACAGCATCATATGGTAACCCGCTTACTATGGGATATTTTGTGATATCGCACGGAACAGCGGGTTGTGTTTTGCTACGCATCTCCTGAGTGCGAACCAAGACAGCTTTCTCGTTGAAATTAGCCTCCAAATGATTTAAAACATAGGCAATCATTGATGACCAATCGTGCGCCTGGGGCTCGTCATTTATCCAGGAATTCACAGCATTTCTATTTGATTCAGTATAATCGGCAAACGTGATATACTTTGCAACTTTTGCCGCACTGATAAGATTTGCCATGGCAGGTCCCCCGCCGAACTCTAAAACACTCAAACATTCGTTTGTGTAGCTGTTAGCTTCAAAATCTGACCAGAATTTATGATGCTCTTTTAACAAGAACGGAATTTCACTTTTGTGCTCATTCCACTCAATAGGAACTTTCCAAAACGTATCCAGGAAAGCTTCGGTGTCAAATAAATCATGGTAGTCCGTCATATATTTAAGATTTGCCATCCTATCTTTAAAGCAGTTTTACTAATTTGACAAAAGAAACCTCTAGATTTAAGGTTTTATAATGACTGGGGAAAGGTGATACATGGATATTGTTGCGATATTGCTTCAAATTATATATACATGCAACGAACAATAGTCACAAATTTCCAACGACAATGACCTAATTCAACTAATGAAAAATAGGAAAGAAAACTGTTTATCTTTTGTCATAAGCAAAAAATGAACTTTCTTGCTATATTTGCTGCTAAACGTAACCAACTATTGCTGTTCATGTTAGCTTCAACTCTCGTCTAGTTATCCTGGAAACACATAAAATGCTGTAAAAATGTGATTCGTTTACGTCACAAAGTGTGAAATGTACTAAATGAGGAAACAATTGAGGCCTTGTCCTCAATGGAATCAAATTAACACCTTGAATTAAAACGATGTTTAACTTCACCTTGGCCATACGTTTCTTCTTTTAAGTAACCAGGATTAGGAGAATTTGAAGGCCTTAAAAAGCTACATTTAAGTGCGCTTGTCTCATCCGTGATTTCTATACTTTTGTAATTTATTTTTAGTTCCTAAAAGGAGAAGGGGGTCACCCGATTAGCACATTTGACGCCGGCTGACAGCCGGAAATTTTGTCTCCGATTGCTCGGCTGCCAGCCGGGCTGTACCACAAAATAAAGAGGTTGTACTGATTGTATACTGTCCGTTCAAAAACTGCGCGCATTTCGGAGACTGGTTCTAGAATGTTTTCATAAGCAGAAACCACCATAAAAAATCACTGCATCTAAATTCATCTTGGCAATGCATACAGCTAACTATGTGACACGTAAATAGACGGAAAAAAACAATTACGGCAAAGAGAGAAATTGAGAATTATTTGCGCTCACTCTGTGATTCGAACTCATGACCTTCTCGTCAACCCACAGTAAACCTCATGCGCGTTTACATTTTATGTTATTGCCGCACGCAACCACACCCCACGCGCAATATATGTTAATTTATTGTACATAAATATGTTATTCGTAGCCACCGTGATTTATCATTGCGCAAATATGTACACTATTGTACACCACGGCCAAGGGTACAGTAGCAGCCGAGCCGTATCTACTCTTTGATACAATACTTACAATACATGACAGCATAGATTACGGCAACCAACCGGGGTTGTTTAACTACAATGCAATACTACAATGCAATAATCAATATGGCTATTAGCCGGGCCTGTTTATAGTATACTATAGTTAGTATACTACAATTCATCACCGCTACCAGCCGGCAATACGGCTATCAGCCGATCCTGTCTGTAGTATACTACAGTATACTACAATACATCACGGCTATTTAACTATACTTTTTAGTCACGGCCGTTCTGTGACTAAAAAGCATATCAGATTTCAGTATACTTTTTAGCCAGGGCGGTTTGTAGCTCCCTCTCATAAGCACGCTCATGTATGCTTGTATTAGCCGGAACTGGGGGGGGGGGGGCAGGAGCCGCACCCCTTGCCCTTTAAGAGGGGCAAGGTGGGCAAAGCTGCCCTTTCAATTTAAAGAATTGCCTTGGCGAAATAGCGAATAGTCAGAAATGTCAGTGCAATTCTTTCGCGAATTTGCTTCAGAAAACGCAAGAAATGCAGTCATCGAGCTTCAAGAATAGCACAATTGCCTGGCGGAGAACCCCCTCACACCACTATCATCCAATAAATAGAAAACATGATTAGGCGAAGTTTAACTCCCGATGTTTTGCGAAGTCAAAAGTGCACTTTCACGAAAATCTGCCCCGTTGCCTTCACATCGTTCCCGGCGTCCCTGGCTGCGAATCCCTCTCAAAAGCACGCTCATATATGCTAATTGTATTAGCGTGCTTATGAGAATCCCTCTCGTAAGCACGCTAGTCATATATGCTTGTATTAGCGTGCTTATGAGAATCTCTCTCATAAGCACGCACATATATGCTTGTATTAGCGTGCTTATGAGAATCCCTTTCATAAGCACGCACATATATGCTTGTATTAGCGTGCTTATGAGAATCCCTTTCATAAGAACGCTCATATATGCTTGTATTAGCGTGCTTATTATATATATATATATATATATATATATATATATATATATATATATATATATATATATATATATATATATATATATATATATATATATATGCTTGTATTAGCGTGCTTATGAGAATCCCTCTCATGGGATTCTCATCAGCACGCTAATACAAGCATATATGAGCGTGCTTATGAAAGGGATTCTCATAAGCACGTTTATACAAGCTTATTCCGGGTGCATAATCGGAAAAACGTGAACTGAAGTTGATATATATTGTGCTGTTTCGAACCAGATGTTCTATCGAATTTCAAGGCCCTTGTAGGCCCTCGAACTTCAAGGCCCTATCGAATTTCAAGGCCCTTGTATTTGAGCAAGCCTGAAAATCTACGGTACATGCGCTTTCTGTCAATGCCTCATTCGTGCATCAGTAGGCCAAACGTGGAGACAAAAAGCAGTTTTTTCCACCTGTGTAATCGACAAAGACGTGAAAGTTAATATTATATAAAGTTAGGGTTAGGGTTGTTTCATATCTGATGTTCTATCGAACTTCAAGGCCCCGGGGCGAATCTCCTAGGAATATCGCCCCCTCAGACGGGCGAATCTCCTAGGAATATCGCCCCCCTTTAGGAATTTCGCCCCCCATATAAATTATCAATTTTTTATCTAAAAACAAAACGATTCCAAGTTGAAAAGATTTATTGGGTAATTTTTTATTTATTTATTACAAGGAGACGAAATCACATACACAATTTAAGCTTCTTAGCAGCTGGTGGTGTGCACAGTCTGTATATAACAACTCACTTGAGGTACTTAGACTAGTGTCATCTTTCCCAGCTTTGTAATCGAAAAAGACGTGAAAGTTAATATTTTATAAGTGAGGGTTAGGGTTTGGCTGCTCCGAATAATTATGATGTATTGTTCTATTGAATTTCAAGGTCCCTGTAGCGAAAATGTGAATTTACGCCGGTCTGAAAATTGTATTTTTAGAATCTACGATCCATAGGCTTTCTGTCGATGCCTTACTCGCGCATCAATAGACAGTCCATGAAGATACAAAGCAGGTTATTACACGTGCATAATCGAAAAAGATGTGAAAGTTTATATTATGCGGTTTCGAACCTTGCGTACTATTGAATTTCAAGGCCTCTGCAGCGGAAACTAGAATTTGTCACGGTCTGGAAATTATATTTTTAGAATCTACGGTTCATAGGCTTTCTGTCGATGCCTTAGTCGTGCATTAAAAGACAGTTCATAAAAAATACAAAGCAGCTTATTCCAGGTGCATAATCGAAATAGACGTGAAAGTTAATATTATGCGGTTTCGAACCTGATGTTCTATCGAATTTCAAGGCACTTGTAGCAGAGGCACGAATTTGGCTGACCTGAAAATATTATTTTTGGAATCTACGATCCATAAGCTTTCTGTCGATGCCTCACCCGTGCATCACTAGGCCAGAGAGGGAGAAAAAAAGCAGTTTTTCCCAGCTTTGTAATCGAAAAAGACGTGAAAGTTAATATTTTATAAGTGAGGGTTAGGGTTTCACTGCTCCGAATAATTATGATGTATTGTTCTATTGAATTTCAAGGTCCCTGTAGCGGAAATGTGAATTTACGCCGGTCTGAAAATTGCATTTTTAAAAACTACGATCCATAGGCTTTCTGTCGATGCCTTACTCGCGCATCAATAGACAGTCCATGAAGATACAAAGCAGGTTATTACGCGTGCATAATCGAAAAAGACGTGAAAGTTTATATTATGCGGTTTCGAAACTTGCCTTCTATTGAATTTCAAGGCCTCTGCAGCGGAAACTAGAATTTGGCACGGTCTGGAAATTATATTTTTAGAATCTACGGTTCATAGGCTTTCTGTCGATGCCTTAGTCATGCATTATAAGACAGTGCATAAAAAATACAAAGCAGGTTATTCCAGGTGCATAATCGAAATAGACGTGAAAGTTAATATTATGCGGTTTCGAACCTGATGTTCTATCGAATTTCAAGGCACTTGTAGCAGAGGCACGAATTTGGCTGACCTGAAAATATTATTTTTGGAATCTACGATCCATAAGCTTTCTGTCGATGCCTCACCCGTGCATCACTAGGCCAGAGAGGGAGAAAAAAAGCAGTTTTTCCCAGCTTTGTAATCGAAAAAGACGTGAAAGTTAATATTTTATAAGTGAGGGTTAGGGTTTGGCTGTTTCGAATATGATGAATTGTTCTATTGAATTTCAAGGTCCCTGTAGCGGAAATGTGAATTTACGCTGGTCTGAAAATTGCATTTTTAAAATCTACGATGCATAGGCTTTCTGTCGATGCCTTACTCGCGCATCAATAGACAGTCCATGAAGATACAAAGCAGGTATTTACGCGTGCATAATCGAAAAAGACGTGAAAGATTATATTATGCGGTTTCGAAACTTGCCTTCTATTGAATTTCAAGGCCTCTGCAGCGGAAACTAGAATTTGGCACGGTCTGGAAATTATATTTTTAGAATCTACGGTTCATAGGCTTTCTGTCGATGCCTTAGTCATGCATTATAAGACAGTTCATAAAAAATACAAAGCAGGTTATTCCAGGTGCATAATCGAAATAGACATGAAAGTTAATATT